GAGAATGAGTTAAAAAGAGAAAAGGATACTTCTCCTCGCAGCAACAAAGCTAGATTGTCTAAATGGGTTAATCTGAGAAAAACTTACAAAACAGTCCTCCTTGTCCTATATTGATAAAAATCTGTGCTTTTGTCTCTGTTATTTTCTTTCCTTTTGTATGGATAGAAAATTAATGTGATATTATGTTCCTTCTCAGTGGTAGGAAGTCTATATAATACGTAAGTTAAAGAAAATCTAAATCTATCACATATTGGTTGATGAATCATTTGGTGAATCAGTGAATTTCTGAGTGAGGTTAATTTTTAGCTCAAAAATATTTATGACCTCTGTAACAGCGAGTATCCTTGCTTGATTTATTTGAATAAACAAATCTAGAAATCTAGAAAAACCAGTTTGAAAGACATTCTTGTTTACAAATGGGCCAATAATTATGCCAAAATATAAAGTTATAATTTTGAAATTAGAAAATTCTATGCTATTATTCTCAATATATTTTCTTAGGTTTGCCTACTTGACACTAAGAAATTGATGTTCTCTTGGTAAAATTCCTGTGTCTAAGCATATATCACCATCAAGTAGAGGTTTTATTTTAGTCAACAATAAACTTTTCAAGAGATTTGATGTAACTGAGAAACTTAAAAAGAAACAACCCCAAGTTTCTTTCCTTCTGTCTCTCTAGGTGTGTGCATGTGCATATCCATTATTTAAAGAAAGCTGAGAAATTTATGGTGTTAATTAGCAATTAAATTATAAAACAATTCCTATATAATAGGCTCTTAAAGAAAAAACCTCTAGGTTTATGTTAATTCTCTTTTCATTAATTTTTATTTTAATGTAGTTCCAATTATTCCCTTGACAAGTAAGTTTAGACTAGCTATAATTCGCTCAAATGGTCTTGTAGTAAAAAGTCTTTAGTTAATGGATTTGGGCAAGGCTTTGCGCTAGTATTCCTGGGCTAGTGAGAGTGTCTTTCTCAGACTAATCAGCTGAAGCAGAGCAGAGAAAGAGAACTTGTTTTGCACGTAACATATAGGTATGCTGGTCGGTTTTAAGAACTTCACCGCAATGGTCTTTTTCTAACAGTAGGGAGTAATTCTCTGTTCTCAGAAGAGACCAGTTTCCCATTTGTCCACACTGGCTTTCGTTTTCTGCTGCTACCCCTGAATCGACTCATATTCATCAGTCTTCACGGGCTGATTAAGCAAGAGTCAGACATTTTTTCTATTTGTATTTCTTTCAGAAGTAAACCTTTAAAAAAGGGTTTTTTAGAATCTTTAATGTTTTCAAGATTGTAAGATTCAGACACATTTCTATTGATATACACCATGCTTCCTTTTCCTGGATTTGTCAGAGGAAGTTTCATGTCTGTGGCTGGATTTAGATGGATTAGTAGGGACTGAGTAGCAGTGGTGTGTATGTGTAGAGGGTGGGGTTGGGGGAATGTTAAGGTTTGGGACTTGAACTCAGTGGCCAGAGAGCCTGGAGACATGTAGGACTTGTGTGACCAAAGGCCTGGGGTGAACGGTTCCAGGACAGCATGAAGGGACTTGGCCTTACTGATAGGAGGATGCAGAATTGGGAGGGGACATGAAAAAGCAGGATGATGGATCTTATTCTGAATAATCTTTCATTATAGGGAAGCCAATACTTACTATTGATACAAGTGCAGTTTTAGGAAGATTTGAGAGCACAAGGAAAGATAAAAACTGAGCCCTCTGACTATGACTAACTCTGTTTCATATCCTTGGAACTGCTGATAGCACTCGCTGTTTCTATGCCACATTTTTTGTAGTAATATTTTTTTAAATGAGAGCTTTAGTACATGTTAATATAATAATTCTTAGCATTCTTGAATTGTTTAATATGTGTTTGTTGTTATTATGAGGAGGTGCTATCTTATTTTTTTACTCTCAACAATGCCAAACCTGTGCTAGATCCTCAATAAGTGTTTGTTGAATATAATTGAATAAATGAGATTCATTAGTCTTCTAATATAATAAAGACAGGGTTCTTGAGTTTAAAAAGTCTCTTCCAATTGACTTTTTGGGTGTATCATAGGCTCTATTGTGACCATGAGTTCTATAAATTGTGGCGACATTTCAGTTGGTTTTAATGGCTTTCTAACTATGAATCCATTTATACATGTGCTTTGCTGCAAAAGATTAATTAATAATTAAGTATTTCTATACTCCAGGTAGGATGAGGTCAAATGTATCTTTGGTGAAATAGAAGCTTCAGATAACATTTGTGTAACACAACCCTGTTGAGGAGTACCATGCTATTTTTTTCCCTCTAGTAATATAACTATGAATGAAACATTCATCTTTTCATTTTTGTATGAAGCGTAAAATAACTCATCCACTTTAACAAATGTGCTTATTCTGAAGTGTTTCCTCAATGGGATTCGCAAGACAGAATCTCAGTGGTAATTAGGCTAATGTCCTTTCCTTCCCACCTCCCTTCTTACTGTACATAAAACACACACACACGCACACACACACACGGATCTAATACAAAAAGGGCCAACTTTAGCTCTTGGTATAATTTCTAGGAGTTTACTTCTGCAGGAGATTAAAGGAAGGGGTAGTTTAATAACAGAACCAGGGAACAGGGGTCCCTCTTAGACTTCTGGAAGCTGTTTTTCAGGCTACTGTTGTTTATTACTTTGCTTACTCAAGTTAATTATACCTCTCCTCCTATGTCTCTTTGGATAGACCTGAGCTTTTATAAGAGCTGGTCCATGTCCTCTTGACTGGGGAAGGAAAGAAAGCATGCTTTTTATTACTACCAGTACTTGCCTGATGAAAGACAGGAAACTCAAAGTTAAGCTTGAAATCTCTACCTCTACCTTGGTCACTTTGTTAATCTGCCTGAATTTTGAGGTTCAATCTGCCTTAATGCTCACCATTAATTCAGGCCATTAGTTAACCATAAACCCTTTAATAATATTCCACAGGAATTCCTGAGTAGACACAAGTTTCTGGCTTGCTTTGAAATTATACAAGGCCTCCTCTTAGAAATGGTTAGGACTGTCAACAGACATGCTCTTTTTACCTAGTTTGAGGGTGGGGAAAGGCTGCTTCTGTGCCAGCTTGTAATAGTCCTGCTTCCATCTCAGCTCTATCAGTGGAGCTCAACCTTGGCTACACGTTAGAATCACCTGGGGAGCTTTCAAAAATATTAGTGTTGGCCGGGCGTGGTGGCAGATGCCTGTAATCCCAGCACTTCAGGGGGCCGAGGAGGGTGGATCACCTGAGGTCAGGAGTTCGCGTCCAGCCTGACTAACATGGTGAAACTCCGTCTCTACTAAATACAAAAAAATGAGTAGGGTGTGGTGACACATGCCTGTAGTCCGAGCTACTTGGGAGGCTGAGACAGGAGAATTGCTTGTACCTGGGAGGCGGAGGTTGCTGTGAGCCGAGATCATGCCATTACACTCTTGCCTGGGCAACAAGAGCGAAACTCCATCTCAAAAAAAAAAAAAAAAAAAAAAAAATCAGTGCTTGAGCCTGACATTAGAATCACTGCATGGTGAGACTAGAGCATCTGAATTTTAAAAATCTTCCCAGGCAATTCCAAGAGTTAGCCAGGCTCGAAAATAAAGGAGTTTAGGACCAAGAAGACACTCCTCTGAAAGATGAAATAGGTGAAACCTTCAACTCTATTGTGGAATGCGAAGATGTTGGCTAAGGCTAACCTTTTGATGTTTATCATTAGATTCACATTCAGGATAGCCTTCACCTCTCACCAGTTGGGTCCACCTATCAAAATTGTCTCCATCTTTTTTTTAATGCCACCTGCAGAAATGTGACCTGGCCCAATGTAGCAGCGGTTGACCAGACTGTGGGGTGACGGGGGGGAGTTCAGCTCAAGATGAGGATGTTGGAGGTAACAACTGGGTGTGAGCATAGGAGCATTTGGACCACTAAATGCTTTCACAATTCACTGTGTGATATTGGGCAATTAATTGAATTTTCTCCAATCATATTCTCCAGCCAAGTAAATAAGAAGTCATTACCCTACACTTATTTCACAGGGCTGTTGGGAGGGGCACATGAGATTGTATACTTGAAAGCACTTTATAAACTGTAAAGTTTCACATTTCATAGAAATTACTATTCCTACTTGTGAAACAAAGTTACTTTGAAGTTTCTTAAGTGTGTTATTTCCATGGACCAAACACTGGAAAATAATATTTTAATATCTGTAGATGAAACATGAGTGGACATGTAGCACGTATTGTGAGTCATATTTTCCTTCATTTGCTATCATATATTCTGAGTATAAACCATCCCAAAACTCTAGCTACAGGGAACAATTAAGTAAAAAGGAAAGCTAATCTGTTTAATATGTAAAAGCTTGGAAAGAAAAAATCTGAAGTATCATCATAAATGTTAAGTGTTTACTGCTCAAGACCCTGTATTAGGCATTGTGCAGTGCCGGCTTGATTTGAACTTTAACATATTATAAGCTAAAAATAACCTGAAATGCAAGTCAATTATATCTGAAACCAGAAATGAACCAGAAATGTTACCTCAAACAGAGTACTTAGAAAGTGGAATAGATCTAAGAGACTGCTATGGTGAATATATCTAGAACTTTGTACAATCTGCAGCCCACAATGGATTTGAATGTGGCCCAATACTTATTTGTAAACTTTCTTAAAACATTATGAGATTTTTGGGGAATTTTTTTTTTTAGCTCATCAGCTATCATTAGTGTTAGTGTATGTTATATGTTCATGTATTTTAGTGTATTTTATTTTTAGCTCATCAGCTATCATTAGTGTATGTTATGTGTTTATGTATTTTAGTGTATTTTATTTTTAGCTCATCAGCTATTATTAGTGTTAGTGTATTATAACAATTCTTCTTCTTTCAATGTGGCCCAGGGAAGCCAAAAGTTTGGACATCGCTGGTCTAATGTTTGTGGTGAGGAATCAAGAGGCAGCCACCTTTGACAGTTGATTTCTCATAGTGATGATGGAAAGTGATAGACTATGGATTGAATAACATCTTATTGACATATACTTCATCAAAGAAGCTCTTTTGTGGAGTAAGCAACAACCAAAACCAAAACAAACCAAAAATCTTTAAGAATCATGTGAAAGAGAACAGTTTGATTTTGTAGCTATAGGAAAATAATCTATCTTCATGTATGTCTCCTCAAAGAACATGCATGTTGAAGGTAACTCAAGGCACAGTCATAAAGCTTGAAAGCTCACAGCTGCTTTTTCCTCTCTACAGCTCTCTGATGGCCCTTGTCATTCTTTCTGCCTTGTCCGACATCACACTTACAAAGCAAGTTTTTTATCCATGGCTAAAAAGCATTTGAAGAAAAATTACCTCATATTAGTATATTGTTAACATAATATTAATATATAAATATATAACAATACCAACCTAATTGTGAACACAGAGGCTTTCTCCTAGCAAAATTAATTTCAACCATCAGAAAGCAGGAAGTACCCACTTGAGGACAATTTGCTTGTACTGGCGAACGTGAATTGTAGGGAGGAAGAATGAGGAAAAGCAAGAGAACTATCTTTTTCTTTCTTTTTTTAAATTTTAATTGACAAAATTGTATATATTTGTGGTGTATAACGTGATGTTCTGAAATATGTATCCATTGTAAAATGACCAATCAATCTGATTAATCAACACACTCATTGCTATCAGAGGTGTTTTGCCAGAGCAACTCCATCTTGAATGGGGCTGGGTAAAATGAGGCTAAGGCCTGATGGACTGCATTCCCACGAGGTTAGGCATTCTTAATCACAGGATGAGATAGGAGGTTGGCACTCGATACAGGTCATAAACCTTGCTGATAAAACAGGTTGCAGTAAAGAAGCTAGACAAAACCCACCAAAACCAAGATGGTGATGAGAACGACGTCTGGTAGTCCTCACTGCTGCACTCCCACCAGTGCCGTGACAGTTTACAGATGCCATGGCAACATCCAGAAGTTACCCTATCTGGTCTCAAAAGGGGAGGAACGCTCAGTTCCAGAAACTGTCCATCCCTTTCCCATGAATAATCCACCCCCTGTTTAGCATATAATCAAGAAATAACCATAAAACAGCCAGCCAGCTGCCTTCAGAGCTGCTCTGCCAATGAAGTAGCTATTCTTTAGTCCTTTACTTTTTTAATAAACTGTCACTTAGCTCTATGGACTTTCCTCAAATTTTTTCTTGTCCGAGATCTAAAAACCCTCTCCTGGAGTCCGGATTGTGAGACCCCTTTCTGGTAACATTACCTCACATATTTATCACTTATTTGTGATGAGAACATTTAAAATCTGCGTTTTAAAGCAATTTTCAAACATACCACATGTCATCATTAACCATAGTTACCATGTTGTACAATACATCTTCTGAAAGTACAGCTGCTATTTCTTTACATCTAACTTCAACTCCTGGCTAGCAGGATGCTGCTGCTCAGGTGGCAGGAGGTTCTGTTTCAAGAGCTGTTGGGAGCAGAGGGGAAAGGGAGCCTCCAAAACCTTACCACTGGTTTCCCAGAGAACCCAAAACTCATGGTTTTCAAAATTAAGTATTCATCAGAATCACCTGGAGGATTTTCAAAAACAGATTGCTGGCCGGGCACAGAGACTTATGCCTGTAATTCCAGCACTTTGGGAGGCTGAGGTAGGCAGATCATCTGAGGCCAAGAGTTTGAGACCAGCTAGGCCAACATGGCAAAACCGCGTCTCTACTAAAAATACAAAGATTAGCTGGGCGTGGTGGCAGGTGTCAGTAATCTCAGCTACTTGGGAGGCTGAGGCAAGAGAATCACTTGAGCCTAGGAGGCAGAGGTTGCAATGAGCCGAAATCGCACCACTGCACTCCAGCCTGGGCAACAGAGAAAGTCAAAATAAAAAGTCAAATGTTAAAAATAAACAAAAAACAAAAACCAAAACGGATTGCTGGGTCCCAATTCCAGAGTTTCTGATTGAATAGGTCCAGCAACTGACCAAAGAATTGGTATTTCCAACAAGTTCTCAAGTGAGGCCAAAGCAAAACACTTTGAGAACCATTGCTTTAGTCTTACCTTCTGTGACTAAATCCTAGGCTTCATTTTATCAATGAATTAATTGGAGTCCAAGATGCTAAATGACAACAATGACTCTGATGAAAATTCAGGGTTCCTAACTCCCAGCTCAGTATGTTTTCGGACCGAATCTTCTACCTTCTGCAATAAAATTGTGCATTTGATTTCTCACCTCAGGATATCCAAAGACACATTTTTTTGTTTCAATTTTTTTTTCATACTGTGACCATAGTTTGCAACAATGCATTCCCCATATAATCCATATTAACCACATACTTCTTTTAGATAGTCTTTCTTTTAGACTCATAAGGGTTTCGTAAAAGCAAACTTTCTATTAATAGAATCTGTAATTAAATTTGAGGCATAATCATGTTCAAATTGAATTTGAGTTTCGTATCTTCTTAAACACTTCTTGCCCATGCAGTAACAAAACAGCAAACAGAACCAAGAAAATAAAGAGAAACCAGAAACCCACCAAGTGGGCAGTTAACTCCTGAAAAACCAACATAAACCACCATAATTAAATCAATTCTCTAGGTTGAATTTGAATGATAGGTTTTCATATATTTCATCAACTGAGTTAATAGCTCCCTGAAAATAATTTTTCCTTCGTTTGATAAGATAAATTTTTATTGAGGATCTCCTGATAGCAGGTACCATGAAGGTCAAACAATATAGTGACAGATAAAACAGGTACTGTCCTGCTCTTATTATCTCATTTTCTAGCAAGTTTAGTCAACCATTGGACCCACAAGTGTTTTACCAAGTTCCTTGTAATTGATAATCTTTTAGGCTGTTTGTATTTTCAGTTGGTTTAATTACGTAGAATTTAATTTTCAGAAGAGAAGGCAAATTAATCTGAAAAGCATATCTTTGTTAGGGGAAAATGAATTTTTATGTATTCTCAACATAAAAAAAGAGACAGTGGACTATAGTATAGAAACTGATTACATAAAAGTGAGATTACTTAAGGGTTGCATTTCCTCAGTGATGGCAGATAACTAACAGATCAATTTTATTTTCGATTGACTAAGGTGAAGTTTTCTTACAACAAGCTGACCAACTATTCATTGGATGATAAACATCCATCAGTCTGTCTTTTCCACAGAACAAATACAGGTCATGCAATAAACAAAATGTAGGCCCCTAAACAAAACAAACAAAACAAAGCAACAGCAACAACAAAACTCTTGTCTCATGATTTCCCTGAGGTGAGATTTTTCTAGTTATCAGCCCATTCCTATGTTTATAATTCTTTTTACCCATTTGATCAGAACACTTCCATTTCCTTTGAATGCTTCATCTTAACTGTATCTCTAAGGAAGAAGAACACATTTTCTATCTCCCTTCTTACCCTTCATTCAACACACAAATAATATTATAGATTACTTTGGTCTTTATATTTTCTCTTATATACCTATACAAATTTTTTAAAGACATTATTATTAAAGAGTGGGCTCTTAAAACATAACATCTTAGAGTCAGAATGCATTGTGGAGAAATCTAGTTTCAAGTTCTAATTTAAATATTTCCATCAGGACGTCTCTGAAAGAGGATTGCCTGCCTGAATGAGCTCAGTGCTAAAGAGCTTACTAATTTACAATTTTGAGGAGCTTTGTTTACAGGGAAGTTCCACCTTATATTTATCCAAAATCTACCTCCTTCTACCTTTCACTTATTTCACATGCTAGCACCAGAGAGAAGTCAAATCCTTCTTCTACAGGCAACTCTCCAACTATCTACAAACAGTATTTGTGGGTTGTGCTCCCTCTTAGTTCTTTCTTGAGGATAAAGAACTGTGGTTTTTTCAATTACTTTTATGATATGGTTTCTAGAACATTGCCCAATTTATCTCTTTCCTCTAAATACAGTTCTGCTTTTCATTGTCTCACACGATATACAGAGCTCAGACTAGACACAAAATTACAGTGCATAGTCTCCCTTGGGGCTTTGTGTAATTCGCAAATGTGATAGGCATGTATTATGAACTGAATATTTTGTCTCCCTTTGCCCCCACCTAAATTTATATATTGATACCACAATCATAAATGGAATGAACATGACCCCAGTATTTATTTGTGTCTAATTTATTTGTGTTGGTATTTGAAGATAGGGCCATTGGGAGGTGACTGGAGTTATATGATGTCATGAGGATGGGGCCCTCATGATGGGATTAGTGCCCTTCTAAAAAGAGACACCAAAGAGCTTGCTTTCTCCCTCTCTACCACATGAAGACATGTGAGAAGGTGGCCACCTGCAAGCAGGAAGAAGGCTTTTCCCAGAACTCAGCCATGCAAGCACCCTCATATGTCAGATTTTCAATCTCTAGAACTGAAAGAAAATAAATGTCTGGTGTTTAATTTCTGGGTGTATAGTATTTTATTATGGCTCCCCAGACAGACTAAGACAGCACAGATTCTACACATAAAAGGGGAAAATATAATTATGGATGCTTTTTAAAATTCCTATGATTATTAATAGATTATTTGGATTTCAAAAATATGTGAATACGTTGAAAATCTATTTATTTTATAAGTTCACTTTTTAAGGTTACAAAACTAAAAATTGGAACTTTATTTTAAAAATATCAACTCTTAAGGAAGAAGCTCAATGACTGTGTGAAAATGGGTGATTTCAACAAATAGTGTTTCCTCTTTTTGTCATTTATATAATATATGGAGATATGTTATATGTGGAGATACACACACATATGTGTATATGAATATATATGTGAATAGATATATGTATACACATATACATATATGTGTGTGTGTTTATTATTTGCTTCCTGCTCACCAAATGTTCATATTCTCATGTGTTTATTAGTGAATAAAAGCAAAAAGATGAGCAACGCTGTTTAGAGAAATGCAAAGGCCCTGCTCAGTAAAAGTGTCTTATTCTTTCTTCTTCAGAAGAAAGAAGTGGGAGTACTTCCCACAACCAGGGGCTCCTTCTCATTGCTGTGATCATGAGTACAGATAGATTTGGTGGCCGATAGATGTCTCCAGGAATAAGTGGGATCTGTATTTTGCAACTTGAGTGCTTTTCTCAAGGGAAGGTGGCTCAGGTCTGGTGGCCTCCATTCAAGACACCACAATCATAAATGGAATGAACATGACCCCAGTATTTATTTGTGTCTAATTTTACAATAATTGCACAGGGAAGCCTCCTAGTCAGCAAATCTAGGTGCCCTTCATCTCCCAAGTCACATACTTGGGAACAGGGGCCACTCATACTCAATACAGAATCCAGAGGGTTTTGTGCCCCCAACTCCTATAAACTGGCATCACCTTATTCTTGCTGTCAACCCAGAGACATTGCCTATAACTCTAAATGGCTTTTGCCTGAGCTGAGAAGATGATCCCAAATCATTTAAAAAGGGCTAAATTCTGTTTTTTATTGTCTGTTCTTCACAGTGTGTCATCTATTGCAGCAAGTCCTGTCTCAAAGTTAAGCATCACTTTGTTATTTGGAAGGAAAGTTGTAGTTACTTGCAAAGATAATTTATTTTGGATAATGCTATTACTTTACAGATAGGAGGTCTATACACATATTCCTTTAATAACAGATAGCTAGAAAGTTGACAGGATCAGAATAGCTCTCTCTTCGGAGAGGCTTCAAGGCTATCTGCAGGTGAAAAATACACAAACAACAATCAGGTCTCCTTTTTTTTTTTTTTTACTTCTTCTGCTCCACGAGGCTGTACTAAGAAGGTGCTGGTCACACAATGGGAATATTTCAGTCTCTTCTCAAAACATTGTGATCCATTTCATCGGATTCTTGGTCTGTGATAGATCAAAGCTTTGGAAAGAGAAAAATGGACTATCCTAATCAGAGCTCGTTTCCTTCAGAAAACTCCTTTCTGAAAGAATGCTTCTTGAAGAAAGTAACACTAATACAGGTTCGTTCCATAAAGGAGATTCAGAAAACGTCTGAAGATTTGTGACTGTTTCCTTATCTTTTCTCACACCTGCTTTTCAGCCTTGGCAGACAAAGGGGTCCAGGGCAGATTTAGCATAAAAATGTGAATGGAGTATCTGTGTCATCTTGCTGGGGGCCATTGAGCTAGGATGCCCACACTGAAAATACAACCGCATTTTAACTTCCTAATCACTATTCTGTTCCAGTTCTGTAAGCAAAGCTGGACTGAGCGTCCTTAGAGAGCAGTTTTGAAAAATCTTGCTTAATTGCATGGCTACACTTTCTTAAATGTTTTCCCTTAAATAAACAATATTAGTAGGTTGCTTTAAAGGCCTCCATTTTGCAATGTACAGAAAGAGCATTTTTGCTTGTTTAGACATTTTCACATAATTCACTCAGAGGAGAGGGCTAAAACAAAATGTCATCACTTCAGTAACTGAAATTACTCTCATTTCAAAGATGTTTTGGTAAACAGGTCAATGTGCCTCACACTCGCCATCGAGCCTTACCCACATATACTCAAAAAAGGCAAGTTTTGTGTTCTTCGCAGATTCAGTAATGTGAAAGTTCCAGGGAATACAGACAGACACTGAACAGAACTCTGATTCCAGGGTCTCTAGTGAGCAATATGGGGTGCCTTCTATAAAATGCAGGCTGAACCTCTGCTGGAGGAGTAACTGCATTATAATCGGCTCCCAGGGGGTTTATTAGCAGCAGGAGGATGAGAGGAGAGTGGAGAGCATCGCCTGGTGCCTGAGCAACCAGCCTCACAAACACCTTGCTGTGAGGGACCTGGAGACAGAAAACATGTTGTCAAGGGCTCAGTGGCCTTGTATACAGCCACCCTCGTTGGGACTATCAAAGCGCACGCTTCTCTAAGCTGTGTACTTGGAAGTACATCGAAGAAGCTTCCAGATGCTCTGAATTTGAAATGCTTGTAATTAAGCCAGGCTTGAACGAGCCAAACAGTAACTTGCTCTGTTTTTCCTACACTCCAAACCTTTCTAAAGGATAGAAATACTTTTGGGTATTCCAAACTATGAATATCTGTTACCTTTTGTATATTTGCCAGAAATGTGGCTAGATGACCAAAAGTTGTTCACAGTATAGGATATCTGGATGCAGCAGCTTTGTCAAAGTGGAGTCGATATCTAAAGAAATTGTTCCCTTTGCAGATGATAAAAATAACACTAGGACATATCTTTTTGCTCCTCCTCGGCCTCCTCTTCATGCTCATTTTCATTATTCCACCCATGTAGAAAAAATGGTGGAAAACTTTGGACCCCCCGAGAAACAACATTTCTAGAGTAGCCTGGAAACCCCCAGGTACCTTGTTCTATCTAACCTCAGAAAGCTGCATCCCAGGGATCTGTGGAGCTCCCAAGAGCTCTGCTCAGCTTAGCTGTGAGGGCAGATAGCACTATAGGACAGTTGTAGCTGAATAAAGGAAACAGCTATTTGGAGGGGTTTGGTTTTTTCCCCAGTGGTATTTTCCCTGTAATTTTTGGAAAACACAGCAGCACAGCAGTCCTTTTCTTATGAGAACAGTCACAAAGAGAGAAGTGCAAACATAAAGTCTGATGTTCAGGCTGGGTCAGCCTGGTTGCAAAAGAACAAGTGAAAGGAAGACTTTAACTTCATTTCATTACTTCTGAGGGTACAGCAACAGTTCTAGAAAGTTCTCCACAGTTCTTCCCATTCTCTCTCCCACCAGGTAGCCTTTGCCTGTATTTATTTATTTATTTTTTTGCTTCTGTTCTCTTTTCCTTTAGGGCTGGTGAAGATTGAGTAGGCCTGGGTAGGCGGGATCAGAAAAGCGGAGCAACGGCTCTAAGCTCTGAGCTCTCGCTGTGTGCAGGCTCTGTCCACATGTCCTTTACCTGATCTCAGTGTACCTCACTGCAACCATTCCATATTGCAGGCGAGGAACCCAAACAATACAAGTAAGAAAGTTTTATCATCGCAATTCAAGTTCATGTCCTGATTCCAGGATCCAGGTTTGCAACCACCACAGTAAGAAATCGTCTTTATTCTTCTCATTTTTCTCATATTAAACCCCAGTATAAGTCTTATTTTCTATACAAAATTATATATTTTGCCTAGAATAGGTCTGGATTGGGTGTGTAGGAGAGCCACCATGTGCCATGTGAGACACTGCTGGCCATGATCCAGGTGACTCCTTTAATTGGTAAATTAATATGAGCATTTGCCAAGCAATTTCTGTAACTAGAGGAATTAACTATTCAAATTGACAATGTTGATCTCTCTGAGATTAGATGGAAATACTTTGAAAGATTATTAGAATTATGGGCTGACAAATTCTAGGTTAGCGTTAGCCTAGATGCGTGCTATTGCCTGAATGGCACCAGCTTAAAAAAAAGAAAAAAACAACAATTGGGAGACTACGATTTACTTTCAGGTCCTCTGATGAATAACTTTGATGTCTTAGGCAGAGACTCCAATATGCGTCACTCCTAACCTCAAGCTGACTGTTTTATCAACAGCCCTGGCTGATGAAAAATCTTCCTGCAACTGTTGTATTCTTATTCAAAGCATTCCTCTTTCCCCATTCCAGCTGGTCTAATAGGTGGATGAAAGAATTGCCAGATACACACTGCAGGAGCATCTGGTCCTGAAGAAAGATGGACCACATTTATTTGCTTCATTCCTATTCCTTCAGAATTTGCAGTAAATTGAGGAAGTCTATTTTGTAAGAAGTTACTAATCATGGGAGTACATGCTCCCGGCTTGGCGTGCAAACACACACATATGGGAAATGAAGAAACCTGAGTAAACACAGGGCCTTACTGGAAGCAGTTATCATCTTCCAAGATTTTCACGCCACTGGGTGCAAGAGGCAACAACGTCTTGTAGCATTTTCAAATGGATTCTGGGTGTTTATATAGAAGATCAATATATTTTTATCTTTAGAAATCAATGAACCCTTCTTACACAGACTGCAGAGAATCACTTGCTTGGGAAGACTTAGAGAAATTCCTTTAGGATATTGGGGGAATATTTTGATTAAAATGCTCATGTATGAGGCAGAAAAACACAGTCCCTATTTAGGAAACTTGAGTGCCATGACCAACTTATTTCAATTGGATTAAAAAAACACGTATAGGCTTTAAGATAAATGTAATAATTGGGACACTTATTATACCCTGCTCAACACTAAGGATTCAGGTACCCAACTCTGCCCATCTGTACTCCTCTGTTGGCTGAGTGTTTGTCTAATGTAGGTAGTTTTCTTTATGAAAATTCTCAACAGATATTATACACAACAAAATGTAATTTTGAATGTAGATGATTAATTTCACATATATTACCTGGATGATTTTAGCTAGGACAAGGACAGGTCTCTTTGGTCACTGCCCTTCGTTCTGAAGTCAGTTCAGCGCATGGTAGGGGTGAACTCAGCCCACTGCTGAGTCCACAATGAGCCAGTCAGGGTGGCAACCAGTAATCCATGGCATCTTCAGACCCCAAAGTACACAGTTAAAACTTTTGGTACTTTTAACTGTGATATTTCAAGACAATTGGGTAGCACTGTGTCTGTCTTAAAATGTTTGTCTACCTACCGCAATGATTGAAATTCCCCCATTAGAGATTCATCTCTTTAGCCATATAGCATTTTAATTTTTGTAAATAAAAAAGGAAATAAATACTTCATAAATATTTTTACTGAATTGATACTCATGGATTAGACTACCATTAATGGCATCAGATCACTTTTTCCCATGAAAACTAGATGAGGACAAAACAGAGATTGGGAGTTCTTGTGAGGCTGGTGGTTAGAAGAGGCTAAGGGAGAATACTTTTAGAGGACATGAGGGTCTACTCGGAAAGGACAAGCACATTTGAAGAAACCCCACTCTGTGACAAGATGTGCCAAGTATCCAGGAGCCAGAAGAATGGCATAAAATGGCCATGTGATGCATTTGGCACAGAAAAAAATACGGCTGTCTGGGAACTGCCCCAACCCATCTTCTAGAACTTTGTTACATGTGATTCATAGACCAGCAGCAGTAGTATCAATGAGGGGCTTATTAACAATGTAGAATCTTGAGTTTCATCCTAGACTTCATCAGATTTTATATTTAAAGCAGATGACCAGGTGATGTACAGGCATGTTAAAGTTTGAGAAACACAGGTCAGTAAGAATCCTCTGGGTCATGATGCAATACATAGACTGCCCCTTTCTTAGCTGCTCCTGATTTAACAAGGGATATGCGGGGGGCAGACCAAGTACAGTCATGTGCTGCATAAGAACGTCTGGGTTAATGACAAGCCACGTATGCAACGATGGTCCCATGAGATTACAATGGAGCTAAAACGTTCCTATCGTCTAGTGACTTTGTAGTCATCGTAATCATTGTAACACAGTGCATCACCTGTTTGTGGTGATGCTGGTGCAAACAAACCTATTGCTCTGCCAGGCATATAAAAGTATAGCATGTACAGTTGTGTACAGTACTTGATAATGAGAATAAACAGCTATGTTACTGGTGTATGTATTTACTATCCTTAGAGTATACTCCTACTTCTGACAAAAAGAGAGTTTATTGTAAAACATCCTCAGGCAGGTCCTTCAGGAGGTATCCAAAAGAAGGCATTGTCATAGTAGGAGATGGCAGCCTCAGTGTGTTATTGCCCCTGAAGACCTTCCTGTGGGACAAAATGTGGAGGTGGAAGACAGTGATATTGATCATTCCTGACCCTGGGTAGGTCTAGGGTCAGGATGATTAATATCACCGTGTGCATTTGTGTCTTGGTTTTTAATACAGAAGTTTTAAAAGTTAAAAAAAATTAAAAATAGAAAAAAGCTTATGAAATAAGGGCATAAGGAATGTTTTTATACAGTTGCATGTTTGTGTTTTAAGCTGTTATTATAAAATAAAAAGGTATTTATAAAAGGGAAAACTATAAAAGGGTAAAAAGTTCACAAAGTAAAAAACTTACTGTAAGCTAAGGTTAATTTATTACTGAAGAATTTTTTATGAAGTTAGTGTAGCCTAAGTGTACAGTGTTTATGAAGACCACAGAGTGTACAGGGTTGTCCTCGGCCTTCACGTTCACTCACCACTCACTCGCTCACTAATCCAGAGCAATTTCCAGTCCCGCAAGCTCCATTTATGGTAAGTGCCCTAGACAGGTGTAACATTTTAAAATCTTTTGTGTCATCTTTTTACTGTACCTTTTCTATGTTTAGATACACAAATTGTGTCCATTATATCACAATTGCCTACAGTATTCAGTACACTAACATGCTGTACAGGTTTGTAGCCTAGGAGCAATAGGCTAGACCACATAGCCTGGGTATGTAGGAGGCCCTGCCTTCCAGGTTTGTGTAAGTGCATTCTTTGATGTTTGCACTATGATGAAACAGGCTAGTGATGCATTTCTCAGAATGTATTCCCACCGTTTAGCCATGCATGACTGTGCAGGTTTGCCTGCTTTCGCCCAGGTAGACATAAATTATAATACACTTGTTGCATGTGAATGCTACCCAGACTTTCTTAACTCATGAATTACAGTAGTGTTCTCAATCTGTTGGAGTTATGAGACTGGTGCAAAACTAAGTGCAGTTTTGCTATTACGGCAAAAACCACAACTACTTTTGCAACAACTTAACATTTATCGTAGGCCCATGCAATTTCACTTTAAGTCAGGGACACTTTGAAGATGGTTATATGAATTAGTCAGTGCTTTTTTTAATAATCAACCACCCCCTTTCTCTCATCTCCTCCCTTCCTCCCTCAGCCTCTTTACTGCTCCTGTTCTTGGCCTGAGCAGCTCTGCGGGATAATAAACTGGTCTTGGTTCCTACCTTGGGTAAATGAGAGCGAGGTCTGTCAGGTCACAAGACCCATCTCCCCCTTTGACAAGGGTCTGGAAGCTACTCCACTCCTACTTTTTCTTTGGTGACCTGAGGGAGATCATAACCTTCCAGGTCAGTGTGCCTGGAGGCGGTGTCCTTAATGCCAATAGGGGGCAGACAGTTTGAGTAGTTCTCTTCTTGTGGCTTTGTGGCCTGGAGTCTATTCAAGTTTCCTGGTTGGAGCTGGGACTGAATCTGAATCCTAGCTGATGGCAAAATGACCCTGGCCCCTCATCAATTTTTTTTCAATCCCATTTCTCTGGAGGTGAACCATAGGGCCACCTATCCTCCATGATCAGGGCTGGATCCCTAGATCTATGATCGTGTAGACATCACCAGTGCTCTGAGCCTCTCAGAAGCCCCTGACCATCTGCTCCAATGGTTGGCCATTACTGGTGTCTTAACCTGAGGCAGGAGGATTCTGCCTCTTTGGACCAGATGATATGGATTGTTGGCTTCTTGCTATAAAGGGCTGGTCCTTCTGCCGGGTCTCATCTCACTTCCTCCCTCCCTGTGTTGACCAGGATATTTCTAGCTGTGACATACTGACTTCAAGCTCTCTCAGAATACACAGAATTCAGAGGATGGATTTCTATTCCCCCATATCCAGACAGATGTATGGAGGTCCTATAGTAGTAAAGCCATCCATGCCCGTTCTCTGCTGCCTGGATGTGGGGACCTCTAGATAATGAATGGGTAGAAAGTGTGTGATTTTAGAACCTGAAATAGCCTAGGGTGAACCAGCAGGAAGCCCAAACCAATAAAATGTCAAGGCTGATATCCCCCAAATTATTATCATACTATTTGGAGAGCACAGACTACTTGCGGATGTAAAGAATGACTGCCAAGGCAAATAATAATAATAATGACAGTAATAACAATAATAATGAAAATAGCTCTAAGCAAAGAGTTATCCCACGGCCTCTGAGACATTTCTTGGCATTTGCTATGATTTAAAATATGGCTTAAGCTGTCTTCCCCATTTTACTTTTTAAGTGCTCAAGATGTATTTTATAGAATGATTTAGAGAAAGGTGTAACAAATAAATTCTAAATATCTAAGGAAAAAACGGAAAGCTGACTTCATCTTTTTGAGGTCTGTTTTACTTGCTCCCTTTCTGCCCTGTAAACAGGTATATTATCCCTGCAGCATTTCCCCAGGGAGGGGTGTGGAACCAAGCAGCGCCCAGCAGCTTCACTGGGGATATTGTACAATTGACCCATGAGGGCCTTTATGGGGGCCAAGAGCCTGTTGTGACAACCAGAGGACCTTTGCAGCTCTCTCTGTTCCTGCTCCTTCCCCACGTGGCCCAGGAAAGCAAAAGCTGAGCTGGAGAATGCTGCTTGAGGAATAGAGAGTAAAAGTTCAGCAGGGATTCATTTGAAACATTTAATCATTTTTGGTAAGAATTTTTCTAAGGAATTACATAGTTCCCTGCCTTCTAAGAGTTTGCCAAACTTTAACTAGTTTGATTACCTGGGATCTAGTAAGTGAGCTGTTTTCAGGGTCCACTCTACATAGGTTTCTGCGGTATCTGCTGCAGGTCTGGATACTGAAACACCACCATTTCTGAGTGCCCTGGGGCTAGACTTTCCTTTTCTATAAAGAATCATCTAGGAGTTTCCAAGGTTCCAAATCCTGCATTCTGTTGCTACCAACTCCAAGGCCTGGTTGGAGACATCCTCTCCAGCTCACTGTAAGGTCTTACTGCTATGGGTGGGTCTAGTCCACATTTACTTACCAAGTGTCCCAGTCCTGACCGTGGCATCAGATATGGCACCTAAGGTATCCCCATTGGGGGAGTGAGTATATCACTTCTCTCTATTCTCACAGCTGCCAAGTCTATAACTAGCTGCTCTAGTTGGGGGTACACGCTTTCCAGGGGCCTCAGCACCATCACTGTCTCTTGTACTGAACCCAGCTGGCTTCACTCACTCTTGCACCTAAACATTCTGGCTCCTGGAGGCATTTGAGTGTGTGATCTCCGGAAGAAGCTCCAGAGAGGAA